CACATCCTTGCATATAGACGCCAAGGCAGAAAACGGCAAACCGCCTCTTGCCTTGAAAACCCCACGGGGTCGCCAGGAGTCAGCTGTGGCCTGAGACCACTTTCCACCACCAACGCCACACATAGACAACTAGCGTGTCCATGGCCTCCTAGTTAGTTCCGTATGTGCAAGGAACTAGGTGGTTTGGGGTTTTTTAAAGGTTTCCCATACAATTAGGTCAGATCCCAGAGGGACAGGACAGGCACCACTGTGACAACTACCGGGGAAACTGGTTGTTCTAAGGTGGATCACTTGCGTTCCACAGGGTTCGCTCCTGTAGTTTAGAGATTTGGACGGAACACATCCATTTTCGCCACGTCCATCTTAAGACATTACTTGGAAGGAAACATGATTGGTTTTCTGTGCCCTTCCGAATGCTCTAAGGATGCCTTCTCCTAACCATGCTGCGTTGGGGGTAATGCTAATTGGATTGACGTCCAAGTAAACGAGGCTCTTTGGCAGACCCAAAATCTACGGGATTTAAAAATGGGATGTCAGCCCGTAAGAAATCGGTGGGGTGAGTAACAACTCATGGGTAGACGTGAGGTTACAGTGCATAAAAGCAAAGGGGTGTGTGTGTTTTTTGTTTTGTTTTTAAAAAATCCGAATATGTAAACCTAACTCTGACTGCTGGTGGAGCAGAATTTCAGCGGGTTCTTTCTCCGAAATATGCTAGCCCTTCCCTATTGACTTGGAGGTCAAAGCCAGGGCCGTCCTTGCTACCCACGAAACACCCGTAGGGAAGAAGGGCCGCCGGTCTCAGTTGGCTGGAGGTGGCTATTAGGATGGGCACAGAGTTCCACTCCGCGGAATAAACAAAGGCGGGAGGGGTTCGTTGTGGGCGCGGTCTGGGATGGCCACAGGGAAGTTCCAGGGGAAGCCTTCTGCGGGTACGGGCTCAGCCGATGGGCAGCTGGGCCAATTCTGAGCAGGAGAGTAGGCTGTTCTCGGTCTCAGGGGAAGGAGTCCGTCTCCTCCCGCCGAGGCCTGGCCGTGGGGTGCCTCTGCGCTTTTCAGAAGGGACTCTCTGAGGCACAGACAAGGGATCGGGAGGGCCCGGCAGCTGGCGAGGGTTGCGGGAGGCCTAGGTCGCAAGGAGAATTTGGTGAAAGGCAGTTCGGGAAGGATGGGATGCTGAGGGGTAGAAGGGACCATGGCTACAGTCCTCTGCACACGTTCGTGGGAGGAAGACACGCTGAATGAAGTCAGGTTGAATCCCAGTAACCTTGCATAAGATCAGACTTGTAAGGCCTGGAACTCCGGCTCGGTCAGTGGGTGTTGCAGGCCTCACCCCGCATGCCTATTATTCGATGCCATCTTCAGCTCCAAAAGCCCCAGTGGTTACTTGGAAGCAAGTCCCTGTAAAACACCCGCCTGGGCGCGTATTTAAAAGTAGAGATATGATTTACTCTGCAGTAGGATGATGGGGGCTAGAGGGGATTTACCGCAATATACTAAATATTAGCCACAAAAAGACACTTAAAATATTCAGAGGGTGAAATTTGTTTTTGGCAAATGGATTCTGGATTCACCAGCAGGCCTTGGAACCTCCTTGTGAGTCCCGCTCCAGTCACTCCCTCCCTGTAGAACGGAGCCCCGAATGCAGCCTTAGGCCTCAATCCGATGTAAACCTTCTTGGAAGTCGGGCTGCCTGCAGTCCTGAGGACGCTTTTCCCAGGAGCAAGTCCCCCCCTGAATAACATGGGGCTTCCGTCTGAGAAGACCTTCTTAGGATTGCTCCTTAAACCCCATCGACTTTGGGGCGATTAATTTATGAATAAACATGCTCCTGGCGGGAGAAGGGGGTGGGAAGAGCCTTCCGATCAGAACTGGGAAGGGGCGCTGGTCTGGTTGCTGTTATCCCTAGACGGGGTCCCTTTCACAAGGGGGGTACTCCCTTGCGTGGCACATTCACTGAATAGTTGTCAGTCTTCCCCATATCGGGTTTGCTTCTGGCTGATCCTCGTTTTGACTGCACAGCCTCCGCGCAGCCCACCTCGCTTTCTTTCCCAACCCAAACGGTTAGGCGAAACAGCGGCTGCCGCTCCGAGGTGAAAGAATGGGCGGAGTTGCTTGACATCCTGGCAGGAAACTGGCCGTGAGATCGGTCTCAGTCCTCTTGGCCGACCAGAACGGCACTCACTTGAGAGCAGATTGACCCTATTCCTTGAAAGGTGCACGTTTATTTATAAACATGCCTTGCTGCGGGAAATGGTGTCTGCATTTCTGATATGTTAGCCTCTATGGTGCCGAATATAATGTCCAAGAATCAGACTATTCTATTCTATTCTATTCTATTCTATTCTATTCTATTCTATTCTATTCTATTCTATTCTATTCTATTCCGAAATATGTAAAGTGGCTGGCCCCGTCCCTGCCAATCGCACAACGGGGCCACCCACAGAGAGTGTAGGGGGTCTCTACCTATTGGGGGATTCCCCAGCTGTGCGCACCACCCCCCAGCCCCACAGGCAGACTAAGCCCTCTGTAAATGTAAGGGGTGGGGGACGCTCAGACAGCCTGGTGAGGGCTGAGAATTTTCCCCAGAAGGGGATGGAATGTTGAGAATCCCTTGGGGGGGGCAGGCTTGCCTCAGGCCTCTGAGAGCTTA